TCATTCTAGAACACCTGGGTTTGAGTACTGGCTCCACTCTCGATTCCAGCTTCCTGCTAACGTGCACCCTGGGAGGCAGAAGGTGATGGGAAGTTTGGGTCCCTGACACCCATATAGGAGACCCACAATGAGTTCCAGGGCCCAGGCTTCAGCCTGCCCCAACCCCAGCTGTTGTGAGCATTTAGGGAGTAACCAAACCAGCGGACAGAAAACCTGACTGCCTGGCTCTTTCTGCCTCTCAAATAAATAAGTAATTTAAAAACTAGACTAAAGGAGAGAAACCAAGCAAGGGGTCTTAGAGAAAGAAAGAGTGTATGATTCCTGCTATGAACTGAGGGTATGATTAACTCAGGTCTCTGAACCACAGTCCAAAACAAGGAAATAAGCAGTAAAGCAGTAGTGACTATCTTAAGTGGAAAATTATGACTTGTCATGAATCTGAGACTATCAAAATAAATACACAGTTATTAAAATTCTTTAAAAAACTAATCTACATGCCATTTAAAATCATTCTAAATACTATCAGTAGGCAGTATTCCACACTTTGAGAAATACTATTATATGACTACTCGGATGTAAGAATGATAGAGGGAAATCTTCCAAAAAAAAAAAAAAACCCACATATATGTATACATAAACTACAAGCATTACTAGCTTGAGAATGCAATTGGATTTATGTCAGAAGAAAATAACTCAATGACAGTTCAACCGCAAAACCTGCCTTCTCTTAGCATGCATGCTTCCATTTCTCCCAGTTTTACACAACACATAATTGGCAAATAGCGACTTCTTTATCTTCCATACACAGTATTAGGAAAGTCCTAATGGACATTATCCCACAAACGCTTATTTGTTAATATGCAATCACCGAATTCTGCTTAATGGATTTTCCACAGGCCCCTACTCCTTCAGCAGTAATTCTGCTAAAAACAAGATGCCATCCTTTAGTAACAGTGTTAGAATTATACCTATAGAACTACAAGTATTCTGAAATTCTACTAAGTCTTACATAGCATTTAAAACTACTGTAAACAAGAGAACAATGATCACAATAATATTTATTTCCTTAGAACTGCTCTTCTGAAATTGGCAACACTTGGCTTTTTTCGTAATATCTTCCTTTCAATATGTTGTCTTGAAAAATAATGTACTTGGGGCCAGCACCGTGGCACTGCAGGGCTGGCGTCCCATATGGGCGCCAGTTCGAGTCCTGGCTGCTCCTTTTCTGATCCAGCTCTCTGCTGTGGCCTAGGAAAGCAGTGGAAGATGGCCCAAGTGCTTGGGCTCCTGCACCCGCGTGGCAGACCTGGAAGAAGCTCCTGGCTCCTGGCTCCAGATTGGCCCAGCTATGGCCGTTGTGGCCATTTGGGGAGTGAACCAGAGGATGGAAGACCTTTCTGTCTCTCCCTCTCTCTGTAACTCTACCTCTCAAATAAATAAAAACTTTAAAAATGTACAATTATTTTCTGAACATAAATTAAGAGACCAACAGTACATTCTTCTTTTTTTAAAAGATTCATTTATTTACTTGAAAGAGTTACAGAGAGAAATGGAGAGACAGAAGGAAATCCTTTATTCACTGGTTCACTCCCCAAATGGCCACAACAGCAGGGGCTGGGGCCAGGCCATAGCCAGGAGCTTCTTCTAGGTCTCCCACAAGGGCAGCAGGGGGCCCAAGTTCAAGCACTTGAGCCATCTTCTGCTGCTTTTCCCAGGCCATTAGCAGGAGCTGGACTGGAAGTGGAACAGCCAGGACTCATGGGATGCCAGCATTGCAGGCAGCAGCTTCACCAGCTACACCACACTGGCAGCCCCAAAACATTCATTTTGATGTTTCTCTAAATTTACATTGGCTACTACCATGCCAGCACAGTCTCTCAGCACCTGACTCAACATCTGGGCACCCCCATCTTTTCCCAGCATCGAGTCACAAATCAACACCTCCACTTCCTTAGATACTCGGCCACTTTGTTCTCTTCCTGCTGTTCCCACACACCACTCTGATCCCATTCGGATCACTTCGTGCTAAGGACTACCTTCTAACTCAGTGCCCCACCTCCTTACTCCATCTCTACTGACGTACATGCACACATCCCTGCTACAGCACTTTGCCAAAGCTATCATTTTCTTCGTGTCACACTCTCTACCTTTTCCAAGACTTCCAGCACACCCCAACAAAAACACTCCCTGCTTCTCTAGAAATGTCCTTTAGCTCTCTCTCCACCTATCCGAGTTTCACTTGTCCAGCAAAGCTCAGCTCACATAACCCTCCCTACGTCCTCTCTGTGCGTTTCAGAGCTCTAAGGACCCTGACAGGAAGCAGCAGCTCACTTCTTTGGCATCCATCACCTCGACTCTGCAATGTGAGGCAGACACAGGAGCTGCACAGGAAACACACATCAGGCAAAAACTGTGCATGGATTTCAAAATAATTTACACCAAAATAAACTGACCTAATTCCACTTTTCCAAAAAACGTTTGAAATCCCCTCACACACACCTATCTCAGCTATACACCAAGGGAGAGAGCCATGCTGTCTTCTGAGTCCTCCTCGTGCCTTGCTGTCACACACATTCACAGGACCCCAGAAACTAGTGTCATATAGAATGGAGGTAACTGGTGCAGGGACTTGAACTAGAAAGAAGAATAATCTTGGAGCCAAAGGAACGCAGATCAGAAGGCACCGTGGGGAAGGGTTGTCACTGGAGAATGTTTTTAAAAGTTGACAGGCCGGGCCAGCGCCACGGCTCACTAAGCTAATCCTCCGCCTAGCGGCGCTGGCACACTGGATTCTAGTCCCGGTCAGGGCACCGGATTCTGTCCCGGTTGCCCCTCTTCCAGGCCAGCTCTCTGCTGTGGCCTGGGAAGGCAGTGGAGGATGGCCCAAGTCCTTGGGCCCTGCACCCCATGGGAGACCAGGAGAAGCACCTGGCTCCTGCCATCGTATCAGAGCGGTGCGCCAGCCGCAGTGCGCCGGCCACAGTGGCCATTGGAGGGTGAACCAACGGCAAAGGAAGACCTTTGTCTCTGTCTCTCTCTCTCACTATCCACTCTGCCTGTCAAAAAAAAAAAAAAAAAAAAAAAAAAAAGTTGACAGGCCTTCCACAGAGAGTAACAGGGTAGGAGAAGAATACACTAAGAGGAGAGAGTAATAGACCCCAAGCAGAAAACTGTTAAGTGATAAAGTCACAGAATTAGAACACTGATCACAGAAACAGAGACTTTCAGGAAAGAAAAAAAGGACAATTATTACAGCAATCAAAGAATACGAAACCCGAAAGACTCAGGAAGTACGGTCTCCTCACCAGAGCAAACCCAGCAGTTTGGCGGGTGACTGTGGTAAATAAAACAGGAGCAGCAGGAAATTATCCTCAAAAAGTTCACGGAAACCATGTATCACGAAAAAGCTGCATGTGGACTCCAAAATTTTAACACTAAAATGAATTACTTATTTTTTAATTCCATCTTTACATGAACTTCTTAGAGTTTCCTCATATAGACCACTTCACTTCAGCTTCCCAACACACAGATCCTGGGAGGCAATGGTGTCAGCTCAAGTAACTGGATTCCTGCTACACATATGGGAGACCCACACTGGGTTCCGTCCTAGCTCTCACCTGGCCCCAATCCTGGAATCACAGGCATGTGGGGAGTGCACTAGCAGATGGGAATTCTTGCTCTATCTCTCAAATAAAATTTTAAAAAACAAATCATTCCGAAATCTAAAATGTGTGAAAAATTTTTAAATAATGTAAACAATAATTTTTAAGTACCCTCCCATTCTGAATTCGGCTTTGCAATCTTAGAGGGAAGAAATAAATGGGGGGCCGGCGCTGTGAAGCAGCAGGTTAAAGCCCCAGTCTGCAGCACCAGCACCCCACATGGACTCTGGTTCAAGTCCTGGCTGCTCCTCTTCTGATCCAGCTCTCTGCTATGGCCTGGGAAAGCAGGAGAAGATGGCCCAACTCTTGGGCTCCTGCACCTGTGTGGGAAACCTGAAAGAGGTTCCCGGCTCCTGGCTTCAGATCAGCTCAGCTCTGCTCTGGCCACTGTGGTCATCTGGGGAGTGAAGCAGCAGATGGAAGACCTCTCTCTCTCTCTGGCTCTACCTCTCTCTGTAACTCTGTCTTTCAAATAAATAAAATAAATCTTAAAAAAAAAAAAAGAAAGAATGCATAAATCACCTACAGCTTACTTTCTACCCTTAGAGTTTAAAACTCAGAGTTAGGTAGAATTAGCATAAGCAAGTAGATAGTGAGGAGAGGCTGAGGACTGCCAGCACCAGAGCCACAGCCACCACAGCTCAGAACACCACCCTCTTCTCTGTGAACCAGCTGTTTAAGAGCTGGCTCCGGTTAGAAATATCCAACGTGGGGGCACGCTCAGCACACTCACTCTCCATCATGCACTTGAGTCTTTATTCCCCTCTTGCACCAGAATCCAGAACACCAGAGGTGCCAAAAAAGGTGCATGGAAGGAGGTGGCACTCAAGTCTTGGCTCCCTCCAAAACTCCACTCTATTTTAATATTCAAATAGCATTGCTATAGACACCGCCCTCTATCCTGTAAAAGGACATAGCACTCTGCTAACTGCAGCTCATCCTGTTTCAGCTTGCCCACAGTTCAGTCTTGAGTGTGCAGCTTTCCCTTTGCCTTTAAATAAATCCTGCTTTCCCGCTTACCTCTATCTGTGCATCTCCTGTCTGAACTGTTTCACAAGTGCAAATACAAACTTGGACCAAGTCTAGCCTGGGGTCTCCCCAACACCATAATTGGTAAGAAATAAGCACTTCTTGCTCTGAAACAGTTCAATGTTTGTAAGAGGAGGCAACAAGGAATTACCTACGAACTCATAAGGAGGGTGATTCAAGAAGCTAACAAGGTACAGTATTATAAAAGAAGCTAAAGAAGTGGTGACAGGCAGGGAGGAGTCTCTTGGTTACTGAGAGATAAGAATCTGCATACTATTTTAATCACTTTCTTATAACTGATGCGCTTACCTCAGAGATGTGCCCAGACAGAACTGCACTTCCAATTTTCTCTGAACGGTTTTGACCTATGCTTCCATCTCATGAATTCCAAGACAGTATTAAACGGATGCATATTTTCATAAACCTGGTTAGAAAAAAAAAAAAGAACTTATTTAAGCCTGCAAGAACTTTGACTTGTCAGAGTAACACAAGTAGAAGCAATACTAAGACTATCTCATATGTAAAACCACACATTTGCAAAGAAAACAATGAAAAGATCCACAGTTTCAGAAAAACTAGTTCTTTACCATTTCTCCAACCTCTGCTCAAAGAAGTTTGGAAAGTTAGGTTTGTGGAAAATAGTACTTGCGGGGCTGGCACTGTGATGTAGTGGGTGAAACCACCACCTACAGTGCCGGCATCCCATAAGGACGCCAGTTCAAGTCCCGGCTGCTCCACCTCCAGCTGTCTGCTGTGGCCTGGGAAAGCAGTGGAAGATAGCCCAAGACTTTGGGCCCCTGCACCTGCATGGGAGACCTGGAAGAAGCTCCTGGCTCCTGGCTTCAGATCAGCGCAGTTTTGGCTATTGCAGCCAACTGAGGAGTGAACCAGTGGATGGAAGACCTCTCTCTCTCTCTCTCTCTCTCTCTCTCTTTCTCTCTGTGTGTGTGTGTGTGTGTGTGTGTGTCTATCCTTCTCTGACTTTTAAATAAATAAATCTTTAAAAAAAAGAAAAGAAAATAGTACTTGCATGTAAAATTTCCAGGTTAGCCTAAACTTCTGAGAAACCAAAGTTGCAACTCCACAGGTGAAAAAACAGGAGCAACTGGAAGCAGCAGTGAAACTTAGAATTCTACAATAGTCAAGAGTCCCAGTTAGGCAACAAGTCACTTGTCCGCAGAGGCAGTGTCCATAACCGGTTCTCATCAGCCAAACCTCCACCTGGGACGTGCAGCCCTGTGAGGATGAAGGTCAACGAGCTGGTGGGTCTAAGTCCAGGGGACAAAGTTTCACCTGTTCTACACTGCTCTGAGCGCCCTCCTGCTGCCAGGGACAGACATTCATGCATCTAAGGATGCGAACAACTTCCAAATTAATCTATTTAAGGATAAGTGTGCTATTTAACCTGAGGTCTTAAAGACAATTCCATTAATGTATTTTAGAACTGAAAAATACCAAAGCATTCTCGTTCGTATTTTAAAAACTGTATGAATGGGGGCCGGCGCCATGGCACACTAGGTTAATCCTCCGCCTGTGGCGCCGGCATCCCATACGGGCGCCAGTTCTAGTCCCGGTTGCTCTTTTTCCAGTCTAGCTCTCTGCTGTGGCCTGGGAAAGCAGTGGAGGATGGCTCAGGTCCTTGGGCCCCTGCACCCGCATGGGAGACCAGGAGGAAGCACCTGGCTCCTGGCTTCGGGTCGGTGCAGCTCCAGCCGTTGAGGCCACTTGGGGAGTGAACCAACGGAGGGAAGGCCTTTGTCTCTCTTTCTCTCATCGTCTGTAACTCTGCCTGTCAAATAAATAAATAAAATCTTAAAAAAAAAAAACTGTATGAATGTTTCCTAGGACATATGACTGTCTTGTCACACTAAGGTTTAATAGCCTTGGTAATAATGACTAAATTCATGTAAGCTGGGGGCAACCTAAGCTGGTCTAGCATATCAGAGAGCAGCAGTCATTCTTAAGAGTCTTGGAGCTGGCATTGTGGCATAGCACTTGAAACTGCCGCTTGCAATGCCAGCATCCCATATAGGCACTAGTTCATGTCCTGGCTGCTCCACTTCCAATCCAGCTCCCTGTTAATGGCCTGGGAAAGGCAGGATAGTGGATGGCCCAAGTGTTTGGGCCCCTGCTACCCACGGGGGACCAGGATGAAAATCCTGGCGCCTCGCTTCAGCCTGGCCCAGTGTTGGCTGTTGTGGCCATATGGGGAGTGAACCAGTGGATGGAAGATTCTGTCTCTTCCCCCCTAACTCTTTCAAAGCAAATACATAAATCTTTAAAAGAAAAAAAGACGAGTCTCCATTGAGCAGACAGGCTGCATGGGACCACACCAAACCTTTCCCTGTCCAGATGCAGACAGCCTGACCCTGCACACAATTACTAATGCTTTGTGTGAATGTAAGAGCCTTTACAAGTTTTCTCAAGGCACCAATTATCGTAACTTAACCAGGTCCTTAACGGTTTTCAGAGTGCTTACAGGATTCTAAAACTCTCACACTGTCCAGAGAAATGAGGGAGCGCAGGAATACAGACATGGGTGTTTCTCTCACAGAATTTTCCTTATACTGACCAAAAAACTCAACGCACTGTGTTTGCATTTTAGAAATAGTACCAAAATTTCCTCCAAAACCATTCTTTGTCAACTCCTCCAGCCCTGCTAAGGGTATGTGCAAGGTGAGAGCAAGCAGAAGCAGTCACTGCCCATCAAGGTCAAAACAGCCCATCAACACGTCTCTTCTAAAAATACATGACCTGAATCTAATTCTACCCAATATTTCTAACGTATCAAATAATAATATGTGAGTCAATCACCAACCATTGTTTATTACAGCACTAATTATTACAACATTGTTTGCTTGGTTAAAAAAAAAAAAAGATGGAATGCTTTAGGTTATACCTAAAGTAAATCTTAAAAGAAAAATATATAACCAAAAGAACTTTCATATATCCCAGCTTCAAAGTCCAAGATCTTGCAGGACAGGTATTTGGTGCTGTGGTTAAGATACAGTGTGGGACAGCCACATCCCATCCCTGATCTGCTCCGAATTCCAGCTGCCTGCTGATGTACACCCTGGGAGGCAGCAGGTGATGGTCAAGTACTTGGGTCTCTCCACCCACCTGGAGACCCAGACGAAGTTTGGGCTCCTGGCTTTGGCCTAGCCCAGGCCCTGTTGTTGAGGGCATCTGGAGAGTGAACAAACAGATGGAAGATCTCTACCTTTCAAATCAATCAGTAATTAATTTTTTTTAAAGTCCAAGATCTCAGATCATCTATTCTCCTTCCACTCTCTCACATGTACAAATGCTTAATAAAACAAACTTCAGAAAACCGTTTGCAAAGATTGAATCTGGGACTGGCTAAGGAAAATCAAGTAAGATTTCACTTCATTATTCAAAGGTAAACAGAAGACAAATGATTCACAGTACACGTCTGCTGGCACTCTGCACCTGCTGGAAACTGCGACTAATGTAAAGGCAGGCTCTTCCCAACCCAGAGCTGTGGCTCCATGAGCACACATTTATAAACGTGCAGAGTTCAATCACTGAACTTACAAGGTAATTCACCACCAGATTGTTGCTTATAAACTCACGTTCAACAGCCACAAGGGATGTTAGAAATGAAACACTGAATAAGTCAATTTTTCACCACAGATTTCCTAGATAAGTTGTAGAGGACACAGGGAATTTTTGTAAATTTTTATTTGAAAGGTAAACGGAAGTCACTTATCCACTGGTTCACTCCCCAAATGCCCACTACACCCAGTGGGAGCCCGGGCTAAAGCCAGAAGCCAGGTGCTCCAGGAAGGACCCCCTTGGACCATCACCTGCTGCCTCCCTGGGTGTACCTTAGCAGGGAGCTGGACGGGAAACATAGTTTCCCATTGAAACTGAAACAGGCACTCCAATATGGGATGCAGGTGCCCCAAGTGGCTACTTCAGCTGCTGGACCCCACATCCACCCCTGGAATTCTTCCTAAAACACATTTGAACTGCAGAAGAAAATCAAAGGCAAGCGGAAAAGGCTCCTCCCAGAAGAGAGATCAGAGAAAGATACTTGGGGTAGAAAGCTCTAGTCTAAGCCAACTGTGCCACTTATTCCCTTGCCAGTGAACAGTGGAACCAGCAGGCATCTGATGTGACTCTTGCCAGTACGACAGGACAGTAAGCTTGGCAAGGAGGTTCTGGGAGAGGTTTTTCTGGTCAAAGAGAAAACACCAGGTCTTTCTCCTACCAAAAAACTCGGGTTCATATGTGGCAGCCATCACTGGCCCAATAAGGCAAGAGACCACCGGAAAGGACAACCCAACAGAACCAGAATGGCGGCTGCCCTAAAAGACTAGGGAAGGGGCTGTTAAAGGTGAATGAAGGAGTCCTGGAGCCACACCAACTGAGATCTTCTTGTTACGCAAAATCTTCCCATTCTTTAAGAAATCCAGAAATTTAGGAACACACACCATTTTCCCCGCATGGATTCCCCTCAGGGATACAATGATAATTTAAATCTAAACTCAGATCTCAGCCCAGATCCCTCTTCTGAACTGACAAGTATTTCCAAACTACTGAACACTAATTATTCCAGAGGCACCTCAAGAGAACAGGGTCAATAGGAAATTCATCCTCTTCCAGCACAGAAACTTTATACCTGGCATTCACTCTTTTGGCTAAAGGCACACCATCTACCCAACTACCAAGGGCAGAAGTCTTAGAATCACTAACCCCCTCTCCCTCTGCCACACCTATTACATTAACTTGCTACTAAATGCTGCTCATTCTGATTTATCTTTAAAATCTGTCTTCCCCATGCTAAACACATTGTCTACTGTGGGCTCTCATCTTTCACGCTGCTAATTCCCACTGTTACCCCTATTCACTGTATCCATGCTTCTAAAATACAACTGGGCTTAATGAAAAGAGTATAAACATCATCATTCATCAGGGAAATGAAAATTAAAACTGCAATTGATACCACTATCAGAATGATCATCATCAAAGAGGCAGATAGTGCCAAGTGCTAATGAGGACACAGACAAAGGGGCACCTCAGCACTGCTGGTGGGAATGCAGCATGAGGCAGCCACTGCAGGCAACAGGCTGTGCACTTCTTCAAGTGAAACACAAGCACAAACTCACCGTAAGAACCACCATTTTCTCTACAGGAACCTACCCAAGAGAAATGAAAACGTCCTCACACAAACATTATCTACAAATGTCCCTAGGAGCTTCGTGCATAATAACGCCAACCTGGAAACAGTTCAGATGTTGCCCACTGGCTGAATGGATAACGACAGTGTGGCCAAACCACAGGAGGGAACACTGTTGGGCAATAAAAAGAAAAGAAACAAACCTCAGACACAGGCTGAGTGACAGACGTCAGGTGCAAAAACTATATATAGGATGATTCTGTGTCTAAGAAATACTCTCA